ATTATTCTTATTCTTGCAATGATATTTGTTATTATTATTATTATTATTATTATTATTATTATTATCATTATTGTTGTTATTTTTATTATCATTGTTTTTATTATTATCACTACCACTCCTACTATGGATTAAAACTATTACTGCTAGCATATTATTACTATCATAATTATTATTATCATTTATTGATGTTATTGCCGTTATCATTATCATCGTTGATATTATTTTCCTTATAATTGAAGACTAAAGGAAAAAAACGACGGTTATCATAAACTGGAAATTGTGAGCTCGCCAATTTTAAAAGCTTGTTGACTCATAACTTCATATTTATTTGACTGATGGTTTATTGTTAAGTGTTGTTGAATGGGAAATTTAACAACAACAATCAACCAACAGTTGAACAGAAATACAGTTATGAGTCAACAAGCGTTCAAAATTGGTACCCTCACTATTTTTAATTTTGTGACTACCGTCGTTTTTTCCCTTTAGCCGTCAATTGTAATTATCTTTTTCATTTTCATTTACTATTTTTAATCTATGTTATTATTTCCCTTGTCGTTCTTCGCTTCTTCCTTTTCTTATTCTTCTACTCCTACTCTTCCTCTTTTTCTCCTTCCTCCTCCCCATCTTTCTTCTCCTTCTTCACCCCATTTTCTTTTTCTTCTGCCTTATCTCCCTCTACTTTTTTTCCTCCTATTCTTACGCCTTCACTTTTTCTCCTTCCTCCTCCTCCTCCTCTGACTTCATCAAACCTTATCTTTCTGTCAACCCTTCCTCCTCCTTTTCCTCCTCCTCCTCCTCCTCTTCCTCCTTTCCCTCCTCCTCTAAGCTCACACCTCTTATCGTCACTTCCTCCTCCTCCTCTTCGTTCCCCCCTCCTCTTCCTCCCCTCTCCTCCTCTAACCTCCTCCCTCTGTCGTTCCCCCCAGATCTATAACAACACCAACTTCGAAGTGGCGAAGCTGTGCGGCAATTACCTCCCTGACCCCATCTTCCTCTCCGACAACAAGGCCACCCTCAGGCTCCGCACAGACTCCTCGGTGCAGTACTTAGGCTACGACATCACTTATGTGGCCTCCACTCAAGGTAAGATCAGATCAGATTAGATTAGATCAGATCAGATTAGATTAGATTAGTTTAGATCAGATCAGATCAGATTAGATTAGATTAGTATATACATGTATATTAGATTAGAATAGATAAGATTAGATTTGATTAGAGATAAATTATAATAAAATGTCATTTTTGTCGATCCCCACAGGGATATTTGGTCTGGTTTACAATGGCATGACATTCATTATACATTCATTATACATTCATGAATATGCTACATTAATTATTTATTTATTCATTTATATATTTGTTTACTTCTTGATTTATGTATTTATTTATTCATTTATTAATTATTTATTTATTT